CACATCGCCGAGTCGCCCAAAAACCGCCGGACATGATCAAATCGCAGCTCAGCAGCGACACTCGGTCGACAGCCTATCCATCCACAGCCAGGGCTCGCATGGCAGTCAGCATGACGAAAAGGCATCACGTCGAGCATCGGAAGAACCAGATGTGTATGGGGCGGCTGACACTGAACAGCCTGGAGCCAGGGTGACATCGCCCGTGCGAGACAGGTCGCGCGCCGCCTCAACTCGCTCACGCCCCATCTCTGTCGTGCCGGCCTCGAGGCGTAGAGGCTTCCTCGGCCGGCTCACGCTGATTCCCGAGCTGGAGCGACCACAAGAGTATTCGAACAAGACAAAATGGTGCATCACCGCCGTGGTCGCTCTGGCAGGCAGCGCTAGCCCGCTCGGCTCGGCCATTTTCTACCGTATGTCCTTCCCGCAAAGTTAGTTTCCTGCCGACACGTCGACTCGCTTACACGAGATAGCTGCCCTGCCGCAGATGGCTATCGACCTCAACACGAGCACGACAAAGGTCAACTTGTCAGTCTCCCTCTACATGCTGGCTATGGCCATATTCCCCCTCTGGTGGTCGTCATTTTCCGAGGTCATGGGCAGGCGCAACATTTTGCTCGTCTCCTTTGCCCTGTTTGTCGTCTTTTCTGTCCTGAGCGCCATCAGCACCAATGTCGACATGCTCGTCGTCATGCGATTCTTCGGCGGCGGTGCAAGCGCCAGCGTGCAAGCCGTCGGCGCTGGAACCATTGCCGATATCTGGGAGCCTCGCGAACGAGGACGTGCCATGAGTACATTCTACTTGGGGCCATTGGTTGGGCCGGTAAGCGCTACCTCTCCACAAGTGCATAGCAATAGCTGACAGGACAGCTCCTCGGACCTATCCTGGGTGGCGTCCTGTCCGAGGCCTTCGGCTGGCAATCGACCATGTGGTTCCTGACCATATACGGCGCAATCGTCCTGGTCTGCCTCTTTTTTTGCTTGCCCGAGACCCTTCCAAGGCGCAAGCCTGTCGTTCCTTCGGCTGCTGTTCGGGAGACGGCTGGTGGCAGCAACAGTCCTGCGCTATCTCGCACACGGACGACCGAATCGATCAAGCAAAACACCAAGAAGGCAACGGCACTGTTCAGGAAGCTCATCGTCGACCCTTTATCCGTGCTCACGTATCTGCGCTTCCCGGCCGTCGCCATCACAGTCTACTACGCCGCCATCACGTTCGGCTCGCTTTTTGCCCTCAACATCTCCGTCCAGGCGGCATACTCGACTGATCCCTACAACTTCAACCAGTCCATTCTCGGTCTGCTCTACATTGCCAATGGCGCCGGCTACATTATGAGTTCTCTGCTCGGCGGCCGCTGGCTCGACCACATCATGACACGCCAAGCGCAAAAGGCTGGTCGCTACGACACGGACGGTAAACTCATCCTCCTTCCCGAGGACAGGATGCGGGAGAACATGTGGATCGCCGGCACGGTCTATCCCGCCAGTCTGCTGCTCTACGGCTGGACGATCCAGTATGGCGTCTTTTGGTTCCTTCCCCTCATCTTCCTCTTCACATTTGGCGCCGCCTCCATGCTTGTATTGTGAGTTTCTATCCAGTCCCCGCCTCCAAGTCACGTCACGCCGTCATGGCCAACCTGCTAACCTTACGTTCCTCGCAGCGCCGCCGCCACGACCATGCTGACCGAGTTTATGCCAAAGCGCAGCTCCGGCGGCGTCGCCGTGAACAACTTTGTGCGCAACATCTTCTCGTGCGTCGGCGCCTTGGCCGCGCAGCCCGTCATTGACGGCATTGGCCACGGCTGGCTTCTGACGATCCTGGGCGTCTTCACGTGGGGTGACGGGGTATTTCTGCATCTGGATCTTGAGGAAGAAAGCGCCCGTGTGGAGGATCAGCATGGACAAGGCGTTGAATTCATAGCGTTATGCCTGGATTGTTTGCACAGACGGCTCGAGTCGAGAGACATTATGAGGAAATGAATTTGACAGATGAGATTGAATGGCTGTATCTATGCAAGGTGAATCATGATGCCGATGAATGATCCGATGACGTGCCATGTTGCTGATGGCGCCTCATTCGGCGGATGTACGCGATGCTGAGCTTTTTGGAACCTTGGGCAAGAGAGTTCCTACAAAGAACCCCCCCAAAAAAACCCAAAAAATTTCCCCGGGGGGAAGATGGCCCTTCCCCCCGGGCTCTTTTGCCAGGGTTTATGGGGGCGGCCGGGATCATAGCCTTCCCACCCGGGGGGGGGCCCCTGGTCCCCCTTCCCTTTTATCTTTCTCTCATGCCATGCTAACAATCATGCCAACCTGAGCCATCTCTCAGAACGCCGGGCGAAGCGCACCCGCGCGCCGGGCGTCACTCCGATCTACGCTTGCTTGTCTTGGTTCTGGTACGGACCCTCTACTTGAATACACATCGGATTCACCAGGCTGGGGACGGTGGACAACAGGAACACACAACCCCTCCCCCTCCCCTTTCGTCCTCTTTCCATCATGCTACCCAACCCAAATCAGACCTCAATGGTACGCCGCGTTGCGTGCCGTGCTGGCGTAGTATACTCCCCAGAGTGAAAGACCGGGAATTCCCAAGCCTACTGCTTTATCATGATGTCCGTATGCACATGGAGTAAAGACTGTGCCCTGGCTTTTCACAGTCCTTGGCTCCTCAGTGTCTAAAGTATCTGGATACTAGGTGCTGAGGCTGGGCTAGTGGTTAATGCTGCGGGCGATCAATCACACGCCCACAACGCGGCACTTTTCTCATGTCAAATGCGCTTTATCATCGAGTAGAGACTCCTGATGCCAGTTCTAAGCAAGTCATGTCTAGCTGTCTCGCGGCTTGGGAATGTCGTCAACAACATCCTGCAAGGACACAAAGGCGCCAGCCCCCCCATTCTCCCGCAAATCATCAAGCAGCACATTTGTTTGCGCGTATACTTCCTCCAGTGCCGAACGAGACGACTTGCCTAGCGAGACTGCAGTTAGAACTTGTCAGCA